AAGCCATGAAACGTCAAAAAACTATCACTGTGACACTGAGTTCGTAAAGAAAGCGCGGAACCTTTAAAACAGTGTTTGCCTGTGTTAGTTGAGTGATCAGAAGACCTTGTAGCCGTTTCTTTCAACCGCATAGTAAGGAGGTGTTCCACTAGAGATTTGGATCACTCAAAGGTCCTTGGATTTGTCAGAGTTGTGATGGACATCGTTTTATCACACAACGATGCTTAACAGGTACTGGATAATTTTTTAATTCCTTTTACCGACAGGACAAATTGCCATGGTCTGCAGCCTGCACGTTATAACTTTCATAAAACAGTTTCACTTCGTTTCAGTCTTCAAAACTGTTTGTTGTAAACCAGTGATTTTTCTTGAACCTGTTAACTTTCTATGCAACAACTTTTAGATTAGGACGTTATTTCAAGCCCTGACAAAATCTGGCGAAAAGATCCGTAAGATATCGTGCGGCCGAAAACCATATAACAGCAGGGAGTGATATTAAGGGTGTTGTCCGCCACCGACTGTCTGCGTTGCCGACTTAAGAATTCAACGTATTTCTCCTTAAAAAGAAAAAGAGTAGTTATAGCTGGTTATGTCAAATAGATATCAAATAGATAACAGATTAAATTGAACGATGTTTAGTGTTGCATAAGAAGTTGGGTTGTTGCCTTCAAAGTTACTGAGAAGTTTCAATGAAGAGTCGGGAATATTTCAACACGAGCTGAATTCGTTCTTCGCGTGCCCGTCGATAAGTACGCGTGCATCTTCAAGTGATCCTGCTCAGACCTCGTCGTTTTAGCAGCAAAGCGAGCTGTCAAAGATACTTGAATATCGTGAAGTTAGTCACAAAGATCATCTGTGATTAGTCTGTATTTGCCCTTTCATTCCTGTTTCAATTGTTAAAGCCAATTTGTAACCTCAATCGGGTCAATACTGAACTAATTTTCTACCCTATGAGATACGGCGCCGTATTGACTCCATATCATGGACAAATCGACGCTATTATCCGGACGGGAGAATGTGGAAGGGTAAGCGAACAGTTTGATACAACAGATAAGGTCATTCACTGTCTATAGACTTCCCTATTGATTTGCTTTATTCTGTTCAATATCCTCCTTCGTTAAGCGCGATAACATCTCGGAAACTCGTGTAACATGTAGAAAGCTTCCCATTAGGAGATAACGTCTGTCGGATCCGGTGTCGAGCTGCTATTGTTCAAATTTTTTTTCTCAGCATGTACCAGGTCAGCAAGTTGACGCCTGGTATCGTTTGAACGTAAGAGAACGTGATAAGACATCCTATTGATGTTCCAACCACATCATGTTCTAACCAATATTTGCGTCTTGTGGTCTTTTTGGGATGGAGAGACACGCGTTTGATTTCATTAATACAACAAACCGTCTTTTAAATGAGAATAATACATTCAATTGGTGAAAGTTTTACCAATGCCCTTTCCATAACTTGATAACATGATAACATGATCAAACTGCTTGAGGAGTTTTATTGGACGAAAAAATTTTCTGTCTACAACCGACTGTACAAGCTGGAGTTCGCGAATAAGCAACTTATTTTCGTAGAAAACAATTCCTTGATCGGTGCAACAACATTCAATTGAGATGCAATACTCAACCCCTTCACTACAAAAAGAGATCAGTATGTAAGTTTGCCTTTCGATATCAATGGAGACATCGGCGTCAAGCAGCTGACCCAAGATTAGACAGGGAGCCAAAAATTCTCATTTCGAACATAAGAAAAATTATATTGAAGTCATAATGGAGAATTCAAAGTCTGATCTTTGGATTGAAAGGATCAGTTGTACTTAAGACACTTGCCTTCAGTCTCATGATCAAAATTTTTCAGTCACAAATTTATGGAATGTGCAACCGTAGACAGTTTTATTGTTTCTTTGTGATGAGATGTAAAATAAATGCTATGACTTTCATTAGTTTCAAGCTCCTCAGGCAATGGATTGAAATCATTTAAGCAAATTAAGCTTTACGTCTGGCTGCGTAATGAAGAGGCAAGGCCATTAGCCTAATAATATAAAACTGGGATTTGGTCAGCCTTGGACACACACGATCGAGTAACCATCAGCTAGAGTGAACTTTTGCGAAGGGAATATCCGGCTAAAGCACGTGTTTAAATCCAACTCCTTTTGTATGTTTTAGCGCAACCTCAAGGAAGATCAGTAATGTTTCGGCAGGAGTAGTCCGCATGCATGTGCTGAAAGTTAATACTGATTGAAAAGGAAATAATGACGAAGGAGATTTCAATAAAAAACCCACAACTTGTAGAGCGGAAAACAACGGTGCAATTAAACTTGCATTTCTAATTTGGATCTAATTTTGGTGTCTCCAGGTTATTTTTTCTTTTGATTGGATTATATATTAGAAACTAACTGTAATGAGTCAATATCTCTTTTACCTTACAACTGACTGAAGTTTCTTGCCTTTCTTGACTGCGATACCGACAGCCTCCTTTGCTCAGACTCAAAAATGTCTTTAATGGTTTGGTTTAATTTCGGATGAAATAACTCAATATCGCCCCAAGGCTTATCAAATTATACAGTTCTCTTAGCTCATTGGCAAACCCCGCCTTCGCGCTATTAGTGCAGTGAGTAAGTCCATTAGCAATGGAAGTAGAATGAGAGGCATTGGGTGTCACCACCAACGCATGATGTTTGGAGAGGCAAGAAGAACTTTTTCCTTTCTAGAACTTTTCTAACGAGATTTAAGTTCAAAAGATGAGAACAGTTTACTGTAAAGAAGACTGTAGCGGATCAAGTAAGTACACATTGACAAAATAACAAAACAGTGCAATATTGAAACGGTAATTTGTGCTTTGTCCAAAATGATCCTTATCGAATCAGACTTTCCTTGTTTGCCTGGTAACGCAAACTGCCCCAAAAAACACGAAACTACAGCGGGAAGAAGATTAAAGTCTTTGTATCTTAATTCGGTATATATCTTCTCCTATGTCTTCCATATCTCAATGTCGTCACGGTTATTTATATGTGTCATGCGTAGGAATTTGCGGAAATCCAGGAAAATTCAAATCAAGTGTCGCGGGCGGATGAGAAGGAAAATATTAAATAGTCCCAACGATTCAGTACACACAAGAATGCTTTAGCTCGAAATGACTTGGCATTTCAAGTTGGCCACACCACAAATGGCGCGGACACCGTCAATTAGTTAATCCACTTGACGCTCACCCTAAGAGGTGGTTTACTCTGTTCCCTAAAACAAATGTCAAAAAATGCCACATCATTATTTTCCTTGAGGATGTAGCTAAGCAGCTTTCACTTATGGGATATGCCCAGTTAGGAAGTAAAGAACAACACTAATTCCCTTTCAATAAAATATGAACAGGACATGAGTACTCGCAATTGAGATAATGATTGAAGCATTCGCATAGGAAGGATAATAATTCTTCACTTCCACCCCGATAATCTGGTTCTAAATCTGTTAAATTTAAAATTTGACAAGAAGCAGTTGATTCTCTAACTATGCCTCAAACGTGCAAAATGCGGAGCCCTCCTACTTGTATTACTCAGTTGTTCATGTCGCGCACACTCACCATCTTTTCATTCGTTTCATCCTTGAGAAACAGTAACTGGTAAAGAATTAAACAGCTCCGGCATTCAAGCATTAAAAGCACAATTCATTCCGTTGTCTTTCAATTGTCTGTTTTTTTTTAAACAAGAAATATGCAACACGAGAAAATTCGCCTCTTGAGAGATTTTCGTTGATGATAAGTATCAGCTAGAGGCCTGCTGAGCAAGCCAAGGTAATTTAAAGATGTTTCCAAAATTAGGATCTTTGTCTAAATTTAGCTCAACCTTTCGCAATGTCATCATTAACCGCTGCGCATGAGGCGAAAACGTGGGAACCGTCTCCAATTGTAAGTTTCTTTGAGGAAGACATCGACAGCAAACATTTGTGCTCTAAATTTTTGAAGTAAAACAGACCAAGAATTAGTGTTCACCAACAGCTAAACCAAGGAAAGGTGTTTTTCTTCTCAGTAAGGGGATGGGATATTGCTGCATGCCCAGTAGTAACCGGTAACAAAGAATGTAAGTGATTCCTAAGAAGCGTGCTTGTATAAAGATAACAATGCAGTTTTCTGCCACTTTTTCAAAAGGAGAGAAAAATGTTTTTAAATATTAAAATAAACAACAATAGAAAAGGCGACTATTTGTTTTAAGCTTATACGTGGAACGTATAACGAAACCATTTGGCACAATGAATCTTGCCTGAAGGCATTGGAAACAGCTGCAAAAACCGATTATTTTTAGACAGAGCCGGAGAAACAATCATTTCTAAAAAATTCAGCAGAAAAATGTGCGCGAGATGTTTGAACGTTGTGGACGATATTAGTTTCCAAATAGAAAAAAAAAGAAAAGTTAGCAACAGGGGCATAATTTCTTTTAATTTTTCATCACAATTTCTTAGAGGCGATGCTTTCAAAAAAAGGGTAATTAAAGCGTCGTGCTCACAAGCATGAAGTCTCTACAGGATGCCGGAGCAATGGGCGACGCGATGTTTAGACGATGTAGTGTCAAATATAAACAAACAAACACGAAATAGCTTTTGGCTTGCGCCTAAGGGCAATTTTAACCACTACCAGCATTTGTGTAGTTTGGCTGATATTCTATCTCTCCGACATCCCTCATTCTTTTTTAGCTATGATTTAAGCGGAGATCCAAGAATGCGAACCCAAATTAGGACAAGGCACGTCTGGCATTTGTGGAAAAAAGGAGGCCCTTTTCCGGTTCGTTTTCTATATGAAACGTGGCGTCAAATCTTCTCAGATCTACTTCCATCCTAACACCCCGAAATTGTAAAGTAAACGTTTTTAAACAACTACAGCTTACGCGTGAAAATCTAAGTACAGTCTCGATTGTTCTATGTTACTGTACTATTTGCAAAGGAAGTAGTTCAAGCTCAATGACGTCATTGACAAGTGTCAGTGTTTCCGGTGTCTCGACTTGATCCCACCCTGTACTCACTGAAGCGGACAGCAAAACACGATGACGATCTCGAAAGCGTGGTCGGGTTGATCGTAGAAAGATGGTTGTACAGAAGTTTCTGGAATTTGTGTTGTTAAAAGAGCAAGTCGATCCAAAATTTGCGTCAGTCGAAAAGAGTGTAAATTATTTGTTTGGCGTACAGCTGACTCGAGAGGAAGAGGATAGCGAAAGATGTTGGGTGAAAGTCGAAGGCAGCGAACATGATATTAGGCGCGCCAAGGTTCGCAAAAAGTCTTTCTTCTGAAATGATTAGCTCCCCGCGATTACTCGACTTTGATTTGTTTTTCTAACTCTGAACGTGTTTTTCTATAGGATTACATCTTAGAGGTTTGTTCACGGACTTTCAGCTCCCTTGAAGAAGCAGAGATTGTTTGGAAGGAAAATAACATTACCTCGACCCCAGTTGACAGCAGTTCGACCAAACAAAACACATCTGTGGTCGAAGTCAATAACAACGACTGTCATAAAGACGAAAAAGAGTTGGCTCAGAAATCCACTGACAAGTTATTAGACTCTAACGAAATAAATCAGGTCAATCGGAGTGAAAACGCCGAAAATTATTTTTCGTCGGGAAAAGTATCCGAAAAGGAATGCGCTGAAACAGCAGAACAGACTTCGCCGTCCGTCGATACAGAATTTGCTTCTCGAAGTGCATTTGAAATGGTTGTGAATCGAACTGAAGCTAAAAAACCCAGCGTTATCGTCGAGAAAGGTAAAGGCGACGAAAAAGGCTGCGATTCTTCGGTTAGTGACGAATCGCTAAGAGACTTCGCGAAGAAACTCGGTTACAATGAAGACACGATCACAACTGGGCTGAGCAAGCTTGGACCTTCAGCGGACACCAATTCACTGTTGTCAGAACTCGTGAAAGCTCAATCTTCAGTGAAACAGTTGGAAGAGGGATCGTCGACCTTCAACTACGAAAAACCAGTTCCTGTCCCTGAAGACTCGAGCTACCTGAGACCAATCGTCATCGATGGAAGTAATGTTGCTATGAGGTATGTAACGTTTGCTAAATCTTCAAATTGCGGTTGTTTCGCATGGTTAATGCATTCTTCAGCTATTACGCTGTTGGATTGAAGTTTTGTTGTTGTAAATATCAGATTTATCTTCCGCGGAATCACTACTAGCAAAACAATCGAGCACTTCACTCGTACGACATTTCTGTTTGCACAAATATAAGCTTATCCACGACGTACAGTGCACAACGAGGTACGCAAGATGGCGATCTCGCTTAGTTATGCATTTTAGGTACTTCCATAAGGGATTTCATAATTCGATTGCATGGTACAAGATTTCACTCGTTTATCTGGCGATATATCAAAGTTTTATCGCTTTAAATCAATTAGTGGTCTTTGAGTTTGCATAATTGTGCGTGTTTTAGGGCGGAAGGGAAGTGATACTGGCAATAGTCACACGTGTGTGCAAGCAAAATTGTTTTCGAGTTCAATTGTTTTTAATCACATTTGAATTCGTCGCACGTTTGATTTGGTATACCATTTAGTCTTGTATAAATCAGAATAGTTCGATTTCTATTTGGCTGTTGTCTCGAAAATTTTAGTCAGTCTTAGGCAAAACTTGAATTTGGACTTTGAGATTTTCCTAAGTTTCCATACCGAACATGCCCAAAATAATTCTTTGCAGCTCAAATTTTCGTTATCGACGTTTTTTGGTTTAGTTTGGAAAAAATGTTCGCTTGATCCTTCTCAAACGGAACTGTTGGAATAATCTGTTTTTAGAACATACTTAGGAGTGAATACTTTCCGGAGGAAAAAAATTATTTGAATAGGAATGGATAAAATTGCTGAAGTGGTTTTAATTAGAGAATGAAGCCATTTCCGAAAGGTTATTTTCCTTGTGATAAATGTGGGATATCGGAAGTTTGGTTCATATGCACACAACCTTCACCCGTTACCAAAGTCTCGCTTACATTTTCCTGTACGCTTTCATTTTTTGGAGCTTAGCATATCGAGAGTATTTCTTTTCTACAAAGAAAATTCCTCTTATAAAAAACCCCTCAGATATCCTCTTTTAAAAGGTTGGGGTTGATTGCTACAATACTTCTTTGATTTAAGCCTCTATTGATCTTTAAGTCAAACAACTTCCAAGGCAAAAAGAAATTCACAGCATCTTTGCAGTTATTTTTGCTTGCCAAACTTTCCCTTTCTGTTTTAAGTATCATTTTGTGTTACTTTGACTTTGGCAAGGCTAACCTAGAAACAGAATTAAATGGCTACTTTGGAATGAGGGTTTTTAAGTTTTTAATGATGCTAGCAATCAACCAGATAAGAACAAAAAAATTTTGAAATAACCAAAAATGCTACAAAACTGTTGCTGAAATGAAAAGGGCTTTTAGAGTGCTTATCAATTGGACTGGCTATATGAACAAGTTTGTCGAAAGGAAGCATTTTAAAGTAATCCGATATGTCTTCTGGCTTTTTTCTTGACATGGAAAGGTATCTCAGATATTTCAAATATTTGACTCTGGATAATTGACCACAGTCCTGAAATTTTAGAGAATGACTCTTGAGGGCTTGCAGCTTGATGCTTGGCAAAATAGTAGGGTGAAATCATAACATGTTGTCAACCTTGTCAAGACCTTGACACACTACATAGGGGCTATGTGCATGAAATAATTGTTGAAATAGTAAATTCAGTGTCAAGAGGTAGAAGTTGAAACATAATTGGTGTGCACAGGCCAATTTGTTTTAACTTTTTAACTCCCAAGATCTTACTATTAATTCTTCCCTTAAGCTGCTACACATTTCCTTGTAAGTTAGTCATGAGAATTTATTGTTTGGCCAAGATAACTTCTACCTGATAAGATTGATATATTTATGAGAATTATAATTTTTTGTTGTGATTTTGAACTTGGTTAGTTCCAATAATGTTTCATGTCCAGTAAAGCTTGGTTATGCTTTTTGCTGTGTGTTGGGATTATAATCCTCTGCATGAAAATGAAATGTCAATTTTTTTTTAACTGAATTCTGGACATTTAAAGGTGGATCTGTTCTTTTACTCTTTAAATTAAAATCCATTATTCCAAATATGAAGAGAAGCTAGTTTTGAATCATCAATAACCTCAATTAAATTTAATCCCACTAAGTGATTTTATTTTTATTGTTCTCATAGTCATGGGAATCAGAAAGTATTCTCCTGTAGGGGAATTGGCCTTGTGGTGGACTGGTTTCTTGCAAGAAATCACCTCAACATAAAAGTTTTTGTCCCTATGTGGCGTAAAAATGCACCACGCCCTGACTCGCCAATTACCAATCAAGAGGTTCTGAAAAGGCTTGAAGAGGACTGCATTCTTGTGTGGACCCCAAGCAGAACAGCTGCCAATGGGAAAATCATCAAATGTTATGATGACCGCTACATCATCAAGCATGCTGCCGACAACGATGGTGTTATTGTTTCAAATGACAACTTCCGCGATTTGATGGCAGAGAATCATGAGTGGAAGAAAGTTATCGAACAGCGTCTTTTGATGTACTCATTTGTCGATGACAAATTCATGCCACCAGATGACCCTAGTGGGAGGCATGGTCCTACCTTGGATGAGTTCCTCAAAAAGGGACATGGAAAATTGTGTCCATATCAGCGCAACTGCACATATGGAAAGCGCTGCAGATTTCTTCACCCTGACAGAAACCAAGTGAGGGAACCAAACTGTGTACCAGCTAACACAGCACATTTACCACCAGAAGTCCCCTATGGACAAGTTTCAAGGTTACCTAAACCACTGCCCCCATGCCCTCCAAGGCCACTCCCAGCCACACCAACTGAATTTCACCAAAAGCCTCTGCCATTACCACCACATAGTGAATTCCCTGCAGAAATGGCAAGGGTGTTTCCACCAACCTTGCGGACAGGCCAGGTTGTGGGAATTGGAGAGCGCAGATCCGACCCTTTGCCACGTCAAAAACAACTCCCTCCTGATGTGCAAGCAATGCAAGACCGGTTTCAGAGAACTCACAGCATTGGAAGTGTTCAAGACCAAGCTTGCGGTGGGGCTCCAGTTGGCCCTGTTAGTCCAATGTTGCGACGTGGCAGTCTACCCCATGCCTGTCATCCTCAGCAGTACTCATCCCTAACAGGACACCCTGATATAATGGTGCGTGGGTCTATGACACTGCCCCGAATGCAAAATGAAAAGAGTGTGGTTGGGGGTGATTGGATGATACAAGAGCAGATGTTTGGAGGGAGCCCATACCATTATAGACCCCAGTACCATTCCAACCCACCTGTCAGTAGTCCATCACCTTACAAAGGCCACCCACCAGCAAGCCTTCCACCGAACCACTGGAATCTTCCACCTTTCTCTCAGGCACACCATCAATATCCTCCTGCACAACAGTATCATCATTACGGACCAGCTCCACCTTACGGTTATAGTCGCACTCCATATGGACAGAACAACAGCTACATGTACCGCTCACGAGCCCCTCCAATAATTGGTGGAATCTCTGGTGATGTGACAGATAATCCTGAAGAGGGTGATAACTCATCATCACATGAGGATCTTAGAATCAAGGCCTATGAAAAGCTTTCTGAAATATTCCCTGATGAGGTTGAGAAAGTTCTCAAGATCCTTGATAAGTATTCTGATGAAACTAGTATTGATATATTGACCCAGCACATGTTGGATGATGTAGATGAGTGAGGAAAAAAATTAACCAGTGTTACAGATCATAATTTTTATGAAAAAAAAAAAGCTAAGGAACTGTCCAAAAAATTTGTGCAGAACAACTTAACTTCAGTACAGAACACGTTTTTTATTATGCTTGATATCATCAAGTTGAAAGTATAACTGGTACATTCGATGGTGTGGTACATGTATATTTAGTGTGAGGGTGTAGTAATTTCTGTTCATTTATTGATAATTTTTAAGTTTGGAGTTCCATCAAGTAGACTTTGGACAAGAAATTTTTAGAATTTGTAGGGAGTGATGGTTCCTCAAGTTATAGGGTTGAGTGGTTACAGCATGTCAACATTGCTGATTGAATTTGTCTGCTTATTTTTGTGTGTTCTTCACACTCACCTACTTAAGTTTGGATCTTGAATTCATTAAAAAATTTATGTTAATATTGGAAAATTTAAGCCATGCTTCCAGTAGGCAACTTGGAGAAAACCTTCTCTTGGTATCTTAGGGTAGTCTAATTTCAGCGATTTATTGTTTTAAACAACAAAGGTGGCATTTACAGAGATTTCATCTGTATACTTCTGGGAATGGTCAGAGGATATTTGTAAAAAGGTTTTCTTGTCTGTCATTTTATAAATGCCATTATTCCTTAAATTTTTATGAGGTGTGATTGAAGTTTTAGCTAAATATTCGTGCAGGATAGCAGTTGAACTGGTAAGTTCATGCATTTTGATGTTGACATGCTAGTAATATTTTTAAACAAGGAATTTTTCTATTAGGCCAGGTCTTAAATACACACTCATTAAAATTTTAATACAATAAAAATAACTTAAGTTGGAAATGGTTAGTGGAAGGAACATTGATCAGAGAATGCCTGAGAAATAATGATCCATGGTCAATTGAGAAAAACGTTTTTTGTATGGTTTTTAGTGCCGTTAATCAACATATGAAGTAATCCAGTTATCTTATAAATAGGATGCCAAGGCTTTATAATCTATTTACAGTCAATATTTTATACTGGGAAAATAATGGAAGGGGCTTTACAGGCAGAACATATTGATCAAATTTTTGGGTCAGAACACGGTTTCTTGCTAGCCAAGAGATCCTTGCTGGTCGAGCAGTTTTGTAGCACTCATTCTTAAATGGAAATATCTATTTTCTATGCATGCAGTTGCCGTCATCCTTGGCAGCACCTTAACCCTTTAACTCCTGTGAGTGACCAAGACAAAATTTATTCTTACTATATCTAGACAATGTTATGCCAACAAGTGATGAGAATAAAGTAAAATATCATTTATGGGATTACAACTTGATCTGATACCTAATTCTCCAAATTGACATCATAAGAATTGTATGGAAGACAGAAAGAGAATTACTGATGAGATCTTAGGAGTTAAAGGGTTAAGGGAGCTATGTCAATTGTGCATCAATGTGATGTCTGTAATCTGAGTTAATCTTTTCAATCTTGTACCTACCATCCATGCAATGTTTGATGTTTTTCACCCCAGACATGTCATTTTATTTTTATGATCTACCATGCTGGAGTTTGAAAAAAAAAATTGCTTAAAATATTGATGTAGCTTCCTTGATCAGTAATTAATCTCAAAGAGTGGTGAAGTGGTATGTAGTCAAGGTTAAGTTGACTTAAAATTATAATTTGGCATGCTACTTTGTTCTGATGGAGTGGAATTTGAATGCAAGAAAGTTTTGTTAATGTATTTAAGGTGTTACTGGTCATGTACAGGTTTTCATCAGCTTTTCTCTGATGTTCAGCTTTTTGTAATATTTGCAATGTGAAGTGATTTTGATATCATTTTTGTAGGTATGTTAGTATATTCCAGAGCTTATTGTTTGACTTCATGTTATTTAAACCCTTAATATTGCTGAGGCAATTATATACACTTGTTAACTTTTTTTCTCATGAAAGTGGATTATCAAAAATCTTAAAATATGAGGCAATTTCCTCAACACTTAGTGGTGAATATTTAAAATGTACCCTCTGGTGAGGATATGGTCACAAACTGGAACTCAAAGAAAATTTTCTTATCTGTGCCACTGGAGAGAATACTATCATAAAAACAATTTATTCTAATTTTTGCAAATTTTAAGAGGCCGTTACAATTTAACACTTCCATTTAAGAAAATATTTGACGTGAGGTCAAACAATAAGTTCACATCGGGAATGCTCTTTGTGAGAGTGTAAGAAATTAGTTTACATTGGAACGACAACAACATTGTGGAATTTAACTCCACTTGGTGAAGTTCTATATAAGTAGCTGGCTGATGCTTAACATCAACCACATATTATACTGAGAAGAAAACAATTGTCAATTTTTTTAAATGACATTAAAATTTGTTAAAACAGATTTGGTGTGGTGGGTTTTTTCAAGCAACTGACTAGAATTACATGTTATAATTAGTGGTCAGGGTGCTAGACTCTGATTAACCCTTTACCTCCCATGAGTGACAAAGAGAGAATTTCTCCTTACAATATCAATACAATATCAAGCACAGAAGTGATGAGAATAAAGTAAAATATCAATTAGAGAATTATTAATTGATCCAATACCAAATTCTTCAAATTTACATCATAAGAATTATATGACAGACAGTAAGGAGAATTAGTAATGAGATCTTAGGAGTTAAAGGGTTAAGGGTTCTGGGTTGGAGTCCTGGCCATTTCAACACATTGTGTTTTATACTTCAAACCCTAACTCCAGTGTGCATATTCTCCATACTTTTCTCTATACATTTCCAGGTGCTGACAAGGAGAATCTGTTTAACAATCAAGAGCTTCTTTAGTTGTGGTCATTTCCTTTATCCTTGTGACCTTTTTCTTTGATTCAGGGGTGATATTGTAGGGAGAATTCAGATGCTTATTATCATAGGGAGTCAAATGGTTAAATTAAGGGAAAACTCTGTAGAGTCTTTTTGAAATGCGCAGGTTGATAGATTGGTAAAATAAGAAAGGACAGGGCCTAAATTTTGTGACCAAAAAAAAGTTTAGTATCAAATTGAAACTGTCAAGTAAAAAAACATGAGACCTTTTATGGGTGTCCATCCAATAGTGCGAGTTTGGGTAAACAGCACACTGTTCATTGTCAACTGCAAAGTCAAGGGTTTTTAGACTCTTGTGTCTGCCTTGTCAGTGTGCTAGATTGCTTAAAGAATACCTTGATTGCAAATATGGTTAAACACAAAGCAGGTGCTCTCCACTTATTGTAGCTTGGCTCAACATAGCCAATTGACAAATGAGACTGCATAACATTAATCAACATGGACCAAAAAAAAATTTTTACAACTGTGTGCAGTTTCTCTTAAAACCATGTCAAACTTAATTACAAAAGCATCTGAAGGTTCCTAATAAAGGTATTGGGTTTCAGAGGGGCTCAATGTTTTCTCTTTATTTGCACCATGGAGGAGTTTGCCAAATACAGGTTAGTTTTACAGTAAACACGGAAAGACAAATCTGCTGAATACAGGGTGTCCACTTTGGGTCTGCTAAAAAGAGAGTTCACTTTTCATTTTACATCTATCCCTAAAAAATTATTGGAGACTCCTAAGCAGTTGGGTCCTTGCCCAGGGAGAAATTGGGGTTATTGACTGAGAGACAATATTACCAATGATTGTGATACCAGAGGAAGATTTACCTTGAGTTTGTCGCACAAGGGATAGGTTGGGAGGGTGGGTAGTAAAATTCTATCAAATATGTATATTGTACCAGGCTAGATGTAGGCCTCAAATTTATTTTTAAAAAGGTAAAATTAAATACACAAACATAACAAATGACAATAATAACAAGGACAATAATTATATAATAATAATGATAATGAAAATAAAGATAATTAAGGACTGTGTAGGATGCGGCTATTTTTCTGACTGAACTTTTTGTGCTTGTCTCTTCTTGACTTCCCAGTTGTACACTCTAGCCATGTCTAAATACAAGTGAAGGAATACGACTTCACAACATTCATATGGATTGTCAGACTCAAGAACTCCTCAAAGAAAATTGACCCCCAGGCCACCCTGGGTAGCATAGCATTGTCATATTTCAAGCACATGGAAGCAAGCACATGCAAGAGGGCAAGTAAACCAATCATCCCTTTCAGCTGACAAGCTGAGATTTCTGCATGGTTACTATTCATATGATGAATGTTGGCTTTGTCATGAATATAAACAAGAAATCACCTCTAAAATTCCATCCCAGTCACATGACTGGCATGTTGTACTGAAAAAAATACTTCAGCCCAGTTAACCAGATCTCAGTAAAAAACTGGGATAGTTACAATCTAGAAATAAAAGGAGAGAGCTGATAATGCAAGATTTAGAAACCAATAAGGTCCTGATGAAAGGGCTCACATGAAAAGATCACTAGGCTCTTCCAAAACTAGAAATGCATCAAACACCTAACTGCTTCAATTATGCAGTTGAACCAGTTTCTGATATCAAACAAAATTTATGCTTCTCATGGTGAAATCAGCACTGTATTTTTAGCTTTAGGTTCAGTAACTCATGCATTCACTGGGTGCAGTACTAAAACAGAGCTGCACCAAATGCACCACCCTTGAGTACAAATCCTTACAACCGCAGGATAAAATGATAATTTGAATGTCCAGTCTCTCTTAAAATTGTAAATCTTGTCAGATTTGAATCCTAACACCTAAAGCAGATAAGAGCTCCCCACTAACATGGGAAGTTAAAATCTTGGTTTGAAGGAGAGACACACTCACAAGCAACCCCTGCTGATACAAAATGTACCATAATAAAAACAACCATTTACACTACTTAGGACAGTTTTTTTGGAAGGATACTGACTTCAGTTGTGGTATACTGATCTCTCAGGAACCCCAAGTCATCTTCAATATCCTTCAAGTTTTTCTGTGCAGTATTCAGGTTTTTAGACAGCAAAGCTCCAGCTTCCTCAATGCTGTACTCCAACATAACATTTGCCTAATCAAGTAAGTATCAACAAAGCTCTTTGTACTAAATGATGCACTCTGAATGACAATCAACTTCATTCTTGAGAAGAGTGTAAAATGTTTTGAAAGTTAATTAACATTAATTTCCAGATATCATGTTGAAAATCAGAGACATTACAGTAATATGAATTTAAATTAAGTCAACATAAATAAAAAAATATATAAATGTGACATAATTTAAACCTTTACAACCAAATATCAGTATGCACATTCTTCATAATGTTCTCTATACAGGTGCTTACAAGCCAAGGGCAATTTGTTTAATAATCAAGAGCTTCTTGAGGTGGTGATTATTTCCTATATTTTCATGTCCTTAATGGGCGATTCAAGGGTGGCTGTCAAAGGACTAATTAATGGTCACTGTGACCTCTAATGTTACAGGAGTTAAGTATGATTCAGAGATGACATGACTTGTGGCAAAGTCATGACAAATGCAAGTATTGTGCAATGATTGCAAGTAACAATTGCATTATTTCCAAGTAAATCTACCCTGAAAAGTTCACCCACCTCACCTATACCAGCATTACCCCTATGGTCCACATTAATTGCATTCACATTACAGTAAAAAAAAAAATTATATATATCTGTATATCATTGAATAACTGCCAACACTCTAATAAGCACCCTCCTCACTATGCCATAATTTAAAAAAAGCACTTCTCTGCCTCCTCTCTCAAATAGGGGTAAAACAAAGACCAGTTTCTATTGCCACTTTATTTCTTTATTTATAACTTTTTAAGTTTTGTATTTCTATTTAAGATTTTGCCAAAATAAAGGTACAGTTAGTTGAATCCCCCCTCAATTGAGTGTCCCTGCTTTAAGCCAAAATTTGAAATGAGCAATTTCAAATTTGCGCCTGGTGCTTTTTCAACAAAATACAGTAAACCCTAATGGTACAACAAATTGGGTTCACCCTACCAAAAGAGTAAATCTAAGCCACCACCCTCCCCCCCACCAGAACTAGAATCTCAAGGCTCACAGAGAAGAGAAAGGAACAAAGGAGAATAAATAAATAACATCTTACCCCAAGCCACAACATTACTTTTTCTGTCGGTGGAACTTCTGCAGTGCAATATACCTGATCCGACAACAAAAATCTGCTCTGAAGGGGCTTGGAACCATCCTATGGAGTAAAATCACAACATACACTTCATGGACAAATTGAGATGATTTTCAATATGGCATAGCAGTCTGTATGTATGTTGCCACATTTACTCTTGAAAAAGCCTTCACCATCAATGCAAACTGCCATATGAAAATGTAAATCAAAGAGACTAAAGTGAGATGCTCAAAGAATTAAAACAAAAAAAATATACATATTTTTTTGCTACTTGCTTTCCACTGTTTAACCTTCTTTACTGGGTAAACTCCTAAACTCCTATAGTTTAATTTCAGTACCTTTTTCGATGTTAATAATTTGACCATCTCTAAACTTGAATTCAAATCTGGAACTTGGGATTGTAATCTGCAATGTACAAAATAACACAGCACAGTAAATGTTTATGAATCTGTTGCTTTTAATCCATCTTGGCTCCTGTTATGACAGCAGCAAAGTTGTGGAGTTGCCAGTTACCTAGCTACATAACCCCTTGGTTTCTTGATTAAGCAACAGATATATTGACATTTACAGATTACATTTATTCCCTAGTACAAACATTGCCATCAGCAACACAGAAAGCAGCTTTGCAGTGGAATGGAGATTTCTTGCTGAGTAATGATTGGCTACTCTTGGAAGGCAACTTTAAACTGGTTGCAAAGTCACTCAACAGCAAGAAATATTATTATATGCTTATAAACAAACACATTTTTTTAAGGAGCCACCAGTCTTGTAAAAGAAATAATGAACGTGCACCTTTGTATGTTTTTATGAAGTTCTTGATAGTTTACTGCACAGAATTTTTAGTGAATAGTATCACTTGACCTCCTGACAGATAAGCTACAACCCTGATTTGATACAAAAATTTTGGGATAAAAAGTGTGGCTTATTTGCTGGTGTTTACCATAATCAGTGGGGAAACTGGTGGAGTGGAAAAGTAAATTGATAGAAATAAACATCATTCAACATAAAATGATAAATCATCTTCTCCACCACAAGAGAAATATGCACTCATTTACCAAATACTAGCTTATAATCAAGTCTGCCCTTTCTCTAAGTGTGAGACTCCCCTCAGCTGTTTGCCATATACATCAGAGCCACACTAACTTAAACCCAGTCAACTCAAACCCACTGCTAACAAGATCTGATTTCCCTTGGATTTGACCCCATTTCTGCAGTTATTTACTATCAGCTAACTCAAACTCAGTTAACTCAAACTAATTTTACTTTTCCTTGACTCAAATTTACCCTTAGCTGATGACTCAAACTTTTTGAAAAAATCAGTGTTCAATAAACGCCAAAGTGTCAGAGCATAGCTGATTAACATGTCCCAACTTTAAATTGCAATTGATAGCATTTAAGATAATGTAATACATTTACTAAACTTCCCAAACTAAATTTCCTATACAAAAGCACTTATAAAACAAAGAAAATAATATGAAAATGATCGTAGATTGTGCAAGAATTGTAAAATCATTATTGCTAATCAATTATTGACAGAATTGAAATTCAACACCAATCCAGAAAACTCGAACCCCTGCTTACATGACCAAATTTTTGGTTTCCCTTGGTAGTAATAATATGACAAACTTTAAATCAAAATTCCACCTCATAATCTTGATAAAATAACACTCAGCATGACTTAACAAACTACAACCAACTACCAGCCAAGATAGCCATCTTAATTTCTTTCAACTAATATAAGACAAATTCCCACATGGATCTCTCACCTTCCTCCCTAAAAACCCTCTAAATACTGAACAATTAAAGAAATCACCATCCAGGGTTATACAATTTGACTGCATATGAGTGGGGTTGTGAGTACTGGAACAAATTTATTGATTCCCAATTTGTGACATCTTTTCAAAAAGGGTAATTGACAGCTTAAAAGGTCACATTTTTGGAATACTGTCTAAATGCCTCAGGTAACACACTGAAACAGACACAAGGTACTTAGAAAGCCTCTTTGTGGCTTTTTTGGCTCAAAAAACTGTTGTAATTGCAGCTTCATGAGTCATCTGCCATAAATGCTTCAAATTTGATCATGTGACCTGATACGTCGCATGTGTGTAAACTTAGCACAGTAAATATGGCAGATAGTAGTTCAAGTGAGGGCAGTTGAAAGGTGAAAATAATGATAGGGCTTATGAGCCTGTTTGGTAAATCAGGCCCTGGCGCTTTGAAATGCCAAGACGAACCAAAAATAGAGTACAAGAGTCAGAAGAGGATCAAGAGCCCATACATAGCAGCTGTCTTAATGAGAAAAGAGAAGAATGGTGAGTGCATTACCCTTGTAAATAAAGTACCTGAAAATCAGTCACTTATTGAATATAGCAATAATCAAGTAAAGAAAACCAAATGTGCAGACTCTTGAATTCCATGGAAGCAAAGTGTTTTTGTGCTACACGCACACACCTTCCAAAGCTTATTTTTCACAGACTGTGAAAAACAAACATACACGCTTGTGGAAGTGCATTGGATGGGTTCATTCTCAAGAGTTGTTTTTCACAATATACATGTTTCGACACATTTGTAACGGTTTTGAATTTTCTTTTATTGAATTTGGCAAAGATTTCTCAGCTTTTACCGTAGAACACAATGCAGCAAAAAAATCATTCATACATATAAAAGTGAACATCCTCTTAATATTAACTTATTGTTAACTTAGTTTTCCCCTTTTGCGGTCTTTGTATCTTGTTAATAGCCTAAAGTGTGAGTCATCTCTCACATATGCAACAGTTACAGAACTAATAACTGTTCATTTTGGCGAAACCAATCATACAACTTGTGTTCTTTATTTATTCTTTTCAACATCATAATAATACTGATTCTTTTATTACAAGATGCAGTGTGGAAACTGCCAATTAAGGTGGAGAGAGGTAGAAAAAATTTGTTGTCAAGAAGTAGATGAAGTGAGAAATAAAAATTTGGGGGCTGTTATAGAGGAACAGCTGCAGGCAGAACCCAGATGCATTGTACAGCATCCTTGAGTAGGAGACGCTTCAGTAGAAAGAACTGAGGACTTCTTTAATACTAGCTTAGAACTAAAATCCAGCTATTCCTGCACAGAATCCTTCATAGTTATCACCTGTGAAATGGTCGCTGCAAATGTGCGGACCCGAACCTGGTGTTCAACTACCTATTAGGTTCTCTTTTTGTCTGCACAAATACAATCCACTTTTGCTGCTCATTTTCATCAGCTGGAAACTGGTGAGGGCTAAATCCATCTGCATTTGTTTGTATAGGTAATCACATGAATTTGAGTGCAATTTGGAATAAATAAGCATGAGTAAATTTTATACATGAAAAAATATCAGATAACTTATCATAATTATGCAGAAGCAAAGCACGCACATCAAGTGCAAAAATAATTTATTCAAACCCGTGCATTTGGTCAAAACAACCATGTACAATCAAAACAGTAATATACAATGATATTTTCACATCTTTAAGGTGCAAAAAAGTTCAAAGTCCAGCTAAAAAGTTTAAGGAATTGTTCAGCCTGTGTCCAAATCAGTATCAAATTTCCATTTAACACTAGCTTGAGCTAAAGAGAATTTTCCTGTTTTAAGGGACTTGTTAGGCCCAATAGAACCGGAGATATCGCCGACAGTACTTTATAATTCAAGTTTTAATACTCACCCAGCTTTTTTTCAACAAATCAACATGGCGCTGAACGATCGCTCGCACAAAATGTGGCCACAAATTTGCATTCTGTCAAGTATGAAACGTTGAGATTTGGGCATGGGCCGCTAGTGTTTTTACTGTATAATCTTATCAATAACATACATGCTAATATTGACACAGAATTGTGCACGCGTCTGAATTTCTTTGACCTTTAAACTCGACATAGACGCTTTCAAGTTTTCGAAAGTTGGATCAGACAACTTTTAAAAGACTGAAATGTATCACCTTAATGTCATGTTTTCGCCACCAAAAAGTTGAATAACATAACCATCTTTGTATTAAATTTTGGCATGGAATTGCTTGAGCGATGTGTTAAGCTGAATCGGCTCACAATTTTGATTTCCTTGGCAATTCCCTTCTCTAAACACCACTTTTCCAAACCAACAACCAAAAAGCAGTGCTTATTATAATGTTTCCGTAGTTAGAGCTTTTTTCAGCAGCTGTATTGCTGTTGCAGAGGCAAAAGAAAACCTATTTAAGCATTGGCCATTGTTTCACTCGCAAATTTTCAGCGTAGCCAAATGTTGCGACATCCAAGGCTCGCATTTGATTGGCTATCTGTGAGTTTCTTTGATTATTGACCAACCAGAATGTCTGGTTTGTTACTTTCTTTGCACTGAATTAACCCTCTTCTGCATTGAATTACCTGAAAACTGCATTTATCTTAACCAAGCAGAACTGAGTAATTTTTTTTCATGTAAATTATTATGCCATAAAACATCAGTACACAGCCCTTCCCTGGTTTTTGTTTTCTTTGCTTGAAATCCTGTTGTTTTCTGTTCATATTGTAAATGCCAATGGGGCTAAGAGTGGTACAGTTTAGGATGACTTAAGTGTAAAAAAAAATATATATATAGATATATATATATTTTTTTTTTAAAGTCCAGGTCGTAATTTGAGAAACATTACAAGCTTGTTATTTGCGTTGCACAACTGTGTTGCTGACTCTGTTCATTTTTTACTGATCGGAAAAAATAAACAAAAAAGTACAACAGCAAGAAGTTTTTCCTTTGTGCTGCTCACTATTCTCCGTTTACCCTTTAACTCCCAGAAGTGAATAACATGAACATTTTCCCCATAACATCCATACATTGTTCAGCAAACAGATAATGAGAATATTTGAATTTATCAGGTAGAAGCTGCTATCTTGATCTAGCACCAAGTTCTCAATCTAATTTACAAGGAAATGTGAAGCAGCTAGAGGGGAGAATTAACAATTAGATCTTGGGAGTTAAAGGGTTAAAAGAGATAAAGAAAGGATAAATCTTGTACATTTCCAGAACGTGGAAGAAGAATTTCGTTCACAAAACCAGATAAGGACCCCCTGTAATACACAACAACACTTAAGACTTATGCCACACTCACTTCAGAACTGATGGGCTTGACAGAGATATACAGTGGACTCGAAAGTGATATACAATAGACAAAATCTTAAATTAAATACTTTTTGACCTGGACTAAAAAATATTTCTATAAGTAACAGACTAGATAATGGTCAATAGGAAAAATATATTTATATTTTACTGCTGTTTGGTATGGCATTCAATCTACCTGTAGTTCTGAATACAGATATGCAATTCATCGCATTTCCATAATTCAATCTTTTTATAGGAAGTATTTCATTTCTCACTTTGTATTTCATAGTCTCTAAATGGTGGCCTGTACAAAAATGGAACAAATCTTTTTTGTCCCACTCTGTACCAGCAAAGTTGTTACTTTCAGGTCTTAACATGGCCCTTTTCTCTGTCTTACACATGTATGATGTATCACATCAAGTAACCTGGATCAAAACATTTTCAAAATTGCCGTGGATTAAGCATAAAAAAAAATTGTAGAATATTTGGTTTTTCTCAACATATCATTTATTTGCTCATTTAGGATTCTTTAACCTAAAAGGCATGTATTGGGACAAAAAAAAAAAAAAAAAGGGGGAAAAATTTGCCATCAGTTACCCTTTAATATTGGTGGTTGTGCATAGTACTGGAAATTAAGTGCATGATGACTTTTGTGGCCAAAAATAAAAACATGGAAGCATTAGTTGCTGGGAGGGTAAAAATACAGCTTCCTTCTTTTTCAGGAATAGGAGACAAAATTGTGGAGGCCTATCAAATTTCTCAATACGCCCTTGGATGAGGGGTTTACAGCACTGCTTGGGCCCTGAAGGATAGGAATCAATCCAACCAAAAATGAAAAAGGTTGGAAAACTTGGGGATTAACCCAAAGGGTAATCTTAAATTTACCGAGAAATTGAAAAATGATTCACAAAAGTCACGTATTCGTACCTTTTTTTTCTTGCCAACAAATTCAGTTCCATAAATTTATACTTCTGATGTTGCTCATCTAAATCTTTAAGAACAGACTCTGCAGTTTCATTTCCACTCTTTCTCATGAAATCGTCGACATCTTCCTACATTCCAGGAATAAGAACTGGTTTATTTTCGTTTGTTCGAGACTGGTAGAAACGAAAATTCCCTGGGCGTTAATGGAGGGAATTTCCCGGTACGTGCGACTCGCACTATCATCAAAAATGGAGGGCATGATTATGAAGAGGTAAATGCTCACCAGAAAGAGTGCCTCTGGAATTCCCCGGTGTTTCTTCGTGTCTTTAGTCTCTGTCGTTTTAACCAACCTTTCTTCACCAGATTTCTTTTCCTCGGACGCCATCTTCTATGTAAGGTGTTTGCAACCAGGCCTCCTCAATATTTCTAGAGCCCGCAATATTATATGGTTATGTAGATCATCCAGCATGCGTACTAAAGAAATGTTTTGAAAACATGCAGACTTCTTAGAACAAGAGCGGAAGTCGACGAAAATAGCATCTTTCACCGTGCTCTCAGCTTGGTTTTAGCGTAAATACAAAACAGAGGATCTTTTGGTGGCGTTTGCTTCGAGTTGGACACAAAACAGTTCATGGGAAGTTTCCAATGCATTCTTAAAAAGCTTTGAAATACAATAGCAACTTTCTACAATCGTCATATCAATTGGCAAGACGGGAAGTCAACCCACGGGAACCGATTTTCCTCGTGCATTACTCTGTGCCGTAATCGAGATCTACAAAGACTGTCCGCTCGGATAGAGAGTTTCTGTAGTAAAGAAATATGCAGAAGCGACAAGAGACTCAAGACTTGCCGTCAATGGAAGCGGAAAGCATGAATTCACAAATGTCTTACAGTTCTGCTGAATTTAGTGATCGAGGCAACAGCTTTAATGGGTTCGAAGAGAATTCGCAGCACATAAACAATGCCAACATATCTGAAATGCTTAATCAACAACCGAATTTGGTCAGCTATCAAAAAAGATTAGAAACCTTTACACGATGGCCATCCAGCAGCCCTGTAAAACCCACCGATTTGGCCGCAGCCGGGTTCTATAGTGTCAATTTAGACGATCGAGTTGCGTGTTTCAGGTGTAATTTGCATTTACGGCAGTGGAACGTAGGAGATGATCCGTGGATGGAACACAAACGACGTCGGCCTTCCTGCCCTTTTATTAAAGAAGGTGAAAATTTGAACGGTCACGTAGTAACTTGTAACCCTGTAGAAGCTTCAACAGGTGTTCGAGAACCAGTCCATCCACCGTTTCCAACAGTAACGCACGCAAGATATGGAGATCATGTGTATCTTACCGAAAGAGATCCCCCAGTGAATCGTGAGAGGTTGATATATGCCGAAAGGCCACAGTATGCTACGCACGGGAGTATGTTTGATACCCAGGAGCTGCATTACCCTGTGGAAACTCGAACCGGTGTCCCGCAGGATTATTATGATCTTAGAAGAAGACCACAAGAGTTTCTCGGAAAAGATCCCATGCCTGTTGATTTTCAACGCTGTCCAGAGCACGAGCAAACCGCTACAGAAAGAAATCAGCATGTTGTGGTGAGACAGGGAGCCAATCAGATTCACATTGTGGGACCGGCTGTCTACCAGCTTAGCCCAGAGGACGAACTTAACATACAAAAAGGAGAGCATGGCTTCCACACGCAGATTAGGACTGAGAGAGATTTGAGACAAGTATACCCAGGGCCTCAACAGACAGGCCGAGTGCCACCATCGACGGAGACGAACTTCACAGGTTCACATCCTTTTCCCAGAGACCCTTACCGGTACATTTCGGAAGAGCAAAGATCAGGCACGAACCAGTTTAAACAGTCCGTCATATCTTATCCACCAAGCTATTCTGGAACGTTTCCAAATCAAACTGGATATCAGCGTTCAGAAAGTGTAACGAACGAAAGTCCGGTGAAGTTCCATAAAGGAAACCCAAGTGAAAAGAACCCGAGCAAATCTGAAAACGATATTGTCGAGGCAAGACCCACTCAACCACCCTGTAACTGGCAGCAGTTTCCGCCGGGTCGAAATGTTCCTGGCTCAAGAAGGCAATCCCAAGGGTATCATCCAGCTTTTCCAGTCAAAGACCCCAGCCTCCAGACTGAAGAGCTGCCTTTGATAAGACAGGAATACGCTCGCCATGTGTCGTCACCATCTGACTTGTCTAATGAGCATCATCGTCTGACGACATATGTGGATTGGCCGCATAATCACCATATTCGTCCGTGGGATCTTTCGGCTGCCGGGTTCTATTACTTGGGTACTGGCGATTCCGTCAAGTGCTTCAAATGCGGCATCATGCTGCACAACTGGGAACCCAGTGACACTCCTTGGGGGGAGCATCAGAAGTGGTCTACGCAGTGTCCTTTAGTACTAGAGCACTTAAGAGAGCGTCCTCAGGCACCTACTCCAAGCACTCCAGCCGAACATGCTGTACAGCGTGTTCCTTCGGTGCAAAATGAACGTCCGAGTTGGCGCCCTGGACAGAGTCAGAGCGGACAAGATCTACATACGCCGATTAGAAGTGGTAACACATCGCCCCTTCAGGGAACTTGGAATACCTCTGAGAAGTACCCAGCATGCACCATGCCTAACTCAGCCAATGGGTGGAATCCTTCAACGGAACAGCGTTATTCACAGTGGCATAATCAAACAGTCACTACGTCATCGCATGAAAGTTACATGACCAATGAGAGTCAGACTCGATTTACTGGAGGATCAAGTTCAAGAGCACCCAACGAAGTAACGCAGGAACCGCGGTCTTGTTCTCCCAGGGGAAGCACTGCCATGGAACTTGACATGGAGAAACTAGGGGAGATGGGGTTCACCCAGCGTGACATACAAGAGGCAGTTGCCGCTAAAATTGGATCCACAGGATCCAATTTCAGCACGTTTACTGAGCTCGTTTCCGCTCTCCTAGAGAGGCAGCAGGCAGGAGCACCCACCTTTGGATCCTGTGCGCAGCTCACGCCACAAGAAGGTGAAGAGCGGCCTCCTCGTCCCCATCTCAACATTCCCGAGAGAGAACCCAGTCCTCGAGAGGATGAAGATCTCCGAAAGAAGAACTGTTTGAGTGCTGTGACGTCTCCCACTACTCCAGTTCCTCGTAGGGACAATCTGCGAAGAACCCTTAGTGCGCCTGCATCAGGATCATCGGATACTGAAGAGTCGCTTGAGGAGAAGCTGGAGCGAATGCAAGAAGAACGCACGTGCAAGATCTGCATGGACGCTGAAGTGGGAATGGTGTTTTTGCCCTGCGGCCATTTGAGCTGCTGTCCTGATTGTGCACGTGGAATGGACTTCTGTCCTATGTGCCGCGGGCCGATAATAGAGAAGATTCGTACGTATCTATCTTAAAACAGCTGTTTTCATTGACTCTCTATTTCATTGGAGGCTCGTAAACCTGTTAAACTTTGAGAAAGAGGCAAATCGGAGGAGCTATTCTTTTGCGTCGTTTTAGACTCTGAACGCAGATTTTTCTTAGCCACATATACCTGAGAGAAAAGCTTACTTACGTGAATTTAACGAGTCGTAATATTGTTGCTCCCCAAGTTAACTTAACTGCTTGCAAAAACTGAATGTTGCCGTGTGTGCAATAACTCTTCTTACCGCAAATTCTTGTCGTCACATCAGTAGCTTAGACGTACCTTTTACAGTCGATTCTCTTACGGGAAATATTTTCTTAATCTATTTATTCGTTTTAGGGAAACAGTGTTTATTTCAGAGTCCTCATTCGAGAGGGACTAGAAAGCAAACCATGCTGCATGTAATCTAGTGTCCTATGCAGCCATAGTTTAGTCCTCTTGCGGAGGAGAATTAGAGGGGGTGTCACGTCACGAGACCAAATGAGGGCTACGAATGAGCATTCGAATGACGAGTGTACTACCCATTAAGGTTCCACTGTAGCACTGCACTGTCGATGCTTGAAAACTAGATGTTTTACGATTCTTCAGAAATTGGTCCAGTTTCGTTTATTAAGTCGACCAATCATGAGAAACAATGTAGACTGTAGTACGCACTTATTGTTGTTAATGTCTTTTGCAGTAGAACAAAAACTCTGCTTTGAGTGCTTAAAAATAGAGAGCTAAACAAGTCTTACAGAAGGAAATTAATCGTTTGGGAAAAGTTCTTTGGAGCGATGTTGTCGGGGGAGGGGGGGGAGAGAGAGAGAGAGAGAGAGAAAACTCCTGCCTTTGCGAAATTACAGTGGATTGGAAATGTTTGTCAGTCCACTCTCGAGTAAGAAGCTTGGTTACCATCGTTCACTCTCTCTCTCATTTTTAGCCATGAATAAATAGCAATTCAAACTCAAGTCTCCCGCTTGAAACTCGGCGAGAAGAAACTTCCGTTTTTCCCAATGAAGGTCGAACCTTCCGGACGATCTATTACAGAAAGACGATTTATTTAACTTAACATCTGCCTTTTTAAACAAGATCTCGTTTTTCCATTTTAACGGCTTGGGATGTACCACAGGGAAGGTTAAAACTTAGATATGTCTGCAATTTAAAAGTTAGTTTCCTGTCAATTCCATTTTGATTGGCCTTTTACGAGCTACCTACAGCCTCCACTCTAAAACGAGAGTAAATACAAAGCCGTTGATACGAAAATCAACTTTCTGTTTTCCCATTAGTACAAAACACATTTTTACATAACAAGCATCGCTTAGAAAGTGAGAGCTTTGGCTTATTTGTCCGTTCCTTCTTTCAGGCAGGCTTCCAGGAGACCTTCTACACTACCAGAGAGACTACAGGAATAGTTTCTTCTCTCCCACCCTCTTCTGCTCCGCGCGCTTGAACCAGAACACAAAGGTTACACCTTGGGCCTAAGTGCGGAATATTTGTTTACAAGGATCATACGCATACACTGGCGCATGAAAACCTTGGTTAACTTGGGGATGTTGGAGAGAACCACCTTATGTGCTTCACACAACATATCGTCCTACCTTGAGTGGCAAAAGTCTTGGCACAATTTACTACTTCTTGGCTTTCTTTTCTCTAACTTCAATTTATCTCCCCCTCTCCCCCAATATTACCTTGTCTTCACAAAATGCTCACTAATTTCAGGCAACACTGTTTGGGCACAAAGGGAGGACTTTAAATTAGCTTACTACAAATGAACTACGAGATTTTTTTTTTGTTGTTTATTTTGTTGAGTGGAAGATTGTCGACCACCCACTTAAAGAAGGCGTGCCAAGTAATTTTGCCATCTTTTTGTAGTTACAGTGTCTTCTCGTTAAAAATAATGAATGCTAATGCACATCTTGCCTTAGAGAAAGTCAGCTCAATCAAGAGGATTTTATCAATCTGCAACGGTAGCTCAAACACAGATCTATGAGAGACGTTTTCGAGAAAATTCGTACCTTTTCACAA